TATTTACAGAGACACTTAAAAACATTCCTAGAATTTTTTCTATACAAAAGATGTTTCCGATAGAATAAATATTTCTATCTTGTTTTGTTTCACTTTTTTCTTGTCTGTTTTCTCAACACTTTTAGCTCCACACACGACCGTTGACCTAGCAACAACAGTTTAGTGACCCCGAAGTTAGCTGTGGGTTCCTTTACATCGTGCTAACTTTACAAACCTAAATAGTTAAGCAACCGTGACACTATCGCCCATAAATGTGTCAAACTCTAACACTTTTTAATAGAAAGTTAATTTTCATCAAAGCTAAACATAGCAAGAAGTAAATATTTCTAGTGTATATATTACAGAATCAAAATGAATATTATCAGATTACTATGGCCAAACTTCACAAAATTGAAACTCTTTTACCAAAAACAAGAATCATGCCGTACAATAATGATTACAGCTCTGCGCGAAACATTATTAAATTATATATAAATTATATATGAATTTATACCTAAATTATATATAAATTATATTGATATTGATATATATAAATTTTATTGATAGCTGTCGTTAAAAAAATATGTCACGTGATCGGAAAGTGACCACATTGTCAAAGAATCACAGACGATGAAAAATGGTTGAAGAAATCATTTTGGAATATTCGGGTGCTTCAACAACGAAACAGGTCGGTTGTTATTCAGTCACGTGCCATACGTGATACACTGTTGGGTGACAAAGTCATTTTCGTTTTATGATGGATTAGGTAAAATATTTTCCCGCGGTGATTTCATTCTGCGTTAGAATGGTTGCCAACCAAGACCATAGGATCATAGACTTTGCAAAAATGGCGAATGCGAAGTCTATCAAATAGGGTCCATACCTCGTAGCGCTGACCAAGGTGGACGGACTGCTGATAGCTAACAAAGCGGTTCCTGTTTTATGGAGCCCGATCTAATCTCTCCTGACTTGACTGATTCAAGGGTTATTATTTACGCTGTTTACATTTGGATTATTGTCCCGATATCTGTCGTTGTTATCACAACGTTTCGACCGTTGTACCCTCAGGCATCAGGTGTATATCGATCCGGGTAACCTACCGGAATTCCGAACTGAACGCTTTATTTAATCTGCAGAAGCAGAATGTTCTCATCCCACAACCCATGTCTAGGGGGATAATTCGTTTAGTTCTTATTTTTAGTACTGCTCGGTTATTGCCCTCTCCGATTTTCACTGAATTCAAGTGCATAATGCCGGGCCCATAGATTGAACTAGCAATTAATATGTCACCAGATTCCCAAACAACGCTTTAATCAACTAATCTATTATCCCGTAGTGTTTTTCTTCTATTTATAATCTATTTAATGAGAAAAATCGTATATTGTTGCAAAAGGAATATATAAAACATTATTGTTTTTTTTTGTTTTTGTTTTTGTTTTTTGGTTTTTTTTTTTTTTTTTTTTTTGTTTTATTTTGGGGGGTGCTACTACGAGTGAAGTTAAATATAAATAGAATATGCCATTTTAAAAACAGTTCTAATAATGTCATATTTGTTTTCAAAATTCTCTTTGCTTACGTTTGCATACGAAACTGTGCTGATATGAAAATCCCTCGAGAGATCTATGAGGGATTTCACTTGAAACCACAAAATATGTTCACGCCTTACCGACTGTTCGCCGTGGCCAAGTCGGTAAGGAGTACCAGGCTAAAATTCTCTATTTTTGTAGCAGCCGTTCTGTCTATGGAAAGGAATACCAAATGCGTCCAAATTAGAAGAAGATTCTTACGCGTGTATCGCTATTAATGAAGTAAACGTATGTAAATTGAATCTGAACAAAAATGCCGTTACCAAAATTGTGCAAGATCACAGGAAATGTGAAAACGTTGTAGGCGTACAGAAGTGAGCAGCTCGACCATTAAAACTAGCAACAGGGTCTATATCTGGGGATTAATTGATGAAAACCAATTAAAAACCAACTGGAAGTGTTGCGAAAGAGATAAAAACATCTTGAACAAGAACATTCACAGTCGATGGCCACGTAAGGAACCATTACAAAAAACGACACACAAAGAGGTCTGTTTGGGCACCTCGGCGTGCTGTAATGGTTAGCAAGCTTGTATCGCTAAAACAGTTACGACTGAATAGTGAGTTCGATCCTCATTGGGTGCCCTATACTTTCGGCCTTGTGCCAAATCTAAGCAACGCTTAGAAAATCAATACAAAGAGTCTGTTTAAAATCTGCATAGAACAAAGGTAGAAAGTGTACATTCTGGGACAATGTACTTTGACCAAATAAAATGAGTAATTAAGTACAGCTTGAAGAAGCAGAGACGTGTTATCGAAAAATATAAAGATGGTATAAATCCTCTCAAGCGGCCATCTTTTAGAGCCACCCTTATCAAAGAGAATTTATCTTATGTCACAAGAAAAATCTATTGAAGGAACACGTCCCATAGGCGAAGAATTTAAAGGAAACAAACCGTTGAAACAGAAATGAATAAATACACTGCATTTATTTTGGTACAAGATCATGAAGAACTCTGAAATAAAAGACATCACTTGCAGTATTCAGTAACTAGAAAACGCATGGCTGATTTAGTCCAATCTCGAATTTGTTCCGAAGGTGCTGCAAATAAACATTGAAATATCAGCTGAATGAATAACATGCTTTACTGACTGATTATTAAATACTTAAAAAGGATTATTATTATTTAAAAAAAATATATTTATGTAAGTCCGTAGCCTATTGATAAAAGAAAATGACACAACATATTTGCTTTCAATATAACCTGCTTCCTTGTCGATGCAATTGATGAGGCAGCGAATATTAATTAAATAGATCAAACAAATATGTGTTGAAACCGGAACTAAGGAAACGGAAACTCTGTTTCAGTCATTGTTCAGACACGGAAGTAACGTGTCGGCCATATTGTTAAGTGTGAATAAAAAGCAGGAGTATCACCTCTGCAGGCAGAGAAGTAAACAGAATAAATGGTGTTGTTGTTGCTACAGACCCCCTTACCAAGTTGAGACAATATGTTAAAGGATTTTCAGAGAAAAATTCAGTTTATAACTACGTGTCATGTTACAAGTGCACTGACGACCCCACCCCCATTGTTTCCCACCAAAACATTTGACTAAAATTTTGTCCTGAAAAATAACGGTCAAATAAAATGTGATTATAACTTAGTGAAATGAAAATATGTTAAAAGTTATGATCTATGATTTCCCTGGGATTAATATCCGAATGAGATATTACAGTTTATTTGTTGTTTATTACTAAATTAATATTGAAATATCGTCCTGGGTAAGACGATAAACTACATCCGCCTCCAGGGTAAGACGATAAACTACGTCCAGCAGCAAGGCCTCTGATCAGGAGGCTTTGAGGAGCGTGGAACCACCTCTTAATTGCTGGTGTTCCCAGGTCCACCCTGACCCGGGGTGGTAGTGCCTGTTAGGGTCCCAGCAATGTTGTAAAAATCAAACGTTCAGTTAAATATAAATCATGTTCAGTTATGTGCCATGCGTGATACACGCTTAGACGGTCATGTTTCGAAAGATACATGACTGACGAGGCAGATTTTTCCCCCGCCGTAGGTTGTCACTTCTTTCTGCGGTAGACCAGTTGCCATCCAAGGCTATAGAATTTGATCTCGTCCTGCTATTTACCCATAGCTGGTGAGGGGGGGGGATTCATACCTTTCCCAAGGATATTAGAACGTAAGTGAATGTAATGGATTCGAATAGAATTTGAACTCGGCTCTTCGAATTCTCAATGCGAGCCGCTAAATCATGTTACGTCTCGCTAATGTAGATTTTGTTCTCGTGAATTAAACTCTTTTTTATGATGACGCCGGATAATCGACCGAAAATGGCAAAGTAACAACTTCAGAAATTATCACATCAGATTGAACCAGATTGCTTCTAGAATAATATCAAGAAAAAAAAATAGACGAGATGTAATAATAAATTGAGAATTGTGTAAGTTTGGACAAATTTCGTTATATAACAAAGAAATGAGTGCTTGACTTCGATATAATATATATATATATATATATATATATATATATATATATATAAATTCCCAAGAGGATAGAATCCAGGTAGAACTCGATGTCCAGGACAGAGTAAGAATATGATATAAAGGCTCCAGACACTAATAGTCCATGGTTATAATTTATTGCATTGGAATCGTAATCAAGAAACAAATCATTAGACCTACAAATTTAAAAAGAAATCGGAAATCAGATTTCTTTTTGAATTTGTAGGTCTGATGATTTGGATCATGATTACGATTCCAATGTAATAAATTATAACCATGGAATATTACTGTTTGAGCCTTTTTTTTATATATATATATATATATATATATATATATATAGAGAGAGAGAGAGAGAGAGAGGAGGAGAGAGAGTATCTATATCCCTATATGACAGTGAATGTTTGACGACGTTCACAAAGTGAAAGAGAAGTGATTCTACAGACGCATGATGGGAATGCCTTCAATGGAACATATGAGCGACGAGGAAGTTTTACAGAAAGTAGGAACTAAATGGACACATACTTAAAATCATAAAGGAATCATTCAAATGAGGAAAGAAGGCCCTGAGAATTTAATACTCACAGGGTATACTGAAGGCAACATGAGCAGATAGAAATATGACGAGTTTTTTTGTAAATGGGGGTTTGCAAAACACAAATTAACACGATGGGTAAAAGATCAAACGTAGTTTAGGTTGATTGATTGATTTGTTTTTACGGCTTATCAACCTTTTGCAGCTTATTTAAAACCAGAAAATTGCTTTTTAGATTGTAAGAATTTTTTTTAAAATAATAATGATTTACCGGGAAACGTCCTACTTATTAATTCATAGCTAGGGAAAAAGCATAGGTGCATTAACACCTTTTCCAATGTTATTTCCCATACGGGAATATAACGAACCCAACTGGAATTGAAACTCGACTCCTCGATTTACAATTCCGCTTCGTTACCCATTACAGTACCCGTATATGCAAGCTTACATCACATGGAATTCCCAAGCCGTCACTCATCTAGGTACTGACCAAGCACGACGTTGCTTAACTTCGATAATCTTACGAAAATCTGTGTTTCAACGTGATATAGCCGTAAGCCCAACGTTGTTTAGAGCTACAACGGAAAGGAAGTTGTGGAGATCCGTATCCTCGCCAAATGCTGAAGTAACGTAAAAGAATCACCGTAATATAAATTAAGCAAGGGAAATCGCTAAAGACAAGAAGATTATTTTGTTAATCACTTCTTTTTATAACGTTATTTTTAATGGATACCCTTATTTAAAATAGACGCCCTATTTTTTGTTTAAAACAGTGTGTACTGAACTATTACGTAATAGCAGTCCTTCTCTATGACAGTGAATGCTAAGGATGAAGAAGAGACTTGAAGCAATAGAATTGTGGTTCTACAGAAGATTGCCGAGGATAACATGAACCGAAGATGTGATCAACGGCAAAGTTCTAGAGAAAATGGAAACAAAATGGAAACAGTTGAAGTTTCTGGGGCACATAATGAGGATAGAGGGCTTGGAAAACTTGATACTCACAAGACGGGTTGAAGGCAAGAGAGCAAGAGAAAAGCAACGCACAACCTACCTGGCGAACTTGAACGAATGCATGGTGAAGCGGGTTTTGGGAAAGATGGAAAAAAAGACAAAAGTTATTAAGAGCTACAAAGGACAGTATAATATGGAGAGCAATGGCTGCCACAGAACAAGAAGATTATTATAGTGGTAAGAACAACAACTTTTGTCATTTGAGACAAAAAAACTTTCGCTTGTGGATTTTATGTAGTGAAGTCATAAAATTTTAACAGCTAAAACATCGATGAAAAGGATCCTATTATTAATGTTGAGTTGGTCAGTAAAGTGCAGAACAGGGTTATTCCCATATGTTTTTTTAAGTCGTTTTTATTTTGTCTACGACACAGATAAACTTATCACAGCTAATAACGAGGAAATCGGATCTATCAAAAACCACAAAACTGTGAGTGACTATTACTCTGATCATCTATACAGAGACATAAAAAAACGTCCCATAATTTCACAAATCTTTACCCGTGTGTATCACTTATTCAAAATGCTAAATTAACAGATCTTATAATACTTATCGAGTACATTTAGTACTGAGAAAGCCATAAAATGACTTCTTCTGGTAATGGTATTATAAGAAAACATCAGTATTCATTGACTGAGCAACTAGTGCTATTTCTGGTTGAAATTTATAAAATCCCACATAATATACATACATATATATATATATATATATATATATATATATATATATATATATATATAAAAATATATATATATATATATATATATATATATATATATATATATATAGTACTATATATATATATATAATACTGTATATATATATATATATATATATATATATATATATATATATTAAAAAATTAATTGATTTAAAATATGTTTTTTTCGCTACACACAGTTCCAATCATGTTTCAAAAATAGAAGCTAAAAACCCCGAATTTAATTTTGCAATTAAATTAAAAGCATTAGTTCCATTTATGATTATATATAAATATATATGTTTATATATAATACTATGTAAACAAATATATGGATATAGATCCGACAGTATGAAGAAAAATATACTGAAAAAACAAACAAAAATCCTAATATGCGATTATGCTGTTTCAATGTTTAATGTCAACGTCGGACGTTTCGGTCTAATAGACCATCTTCAGAAAATATTCATAAAACATAATTAACATAGACCATATTCAATTCAACATGAAAAAGACGATGGACATAAAAGCAATACCAATGCAAACAGATAACTGAAAGATCAGCGTTCCGTTTAAATATGATCACGTCGTCACTCTGTGGGCGATGTTATGAAAACGTATTCCTAAAATTTGAGTATTTTGAATGAAAAACGAAAATAAATTTTATTTTGATCTAAAACTTATATGTACGTTTGTCGAGCATTAATCTTGCTAGAAAGGGGAAATATTAAAGAAGCCAGATCTAGTATACTATACATATAGATATATATATATATATATATATATATATATATATATATATATATATATACTGTACCATTCATAGCACACTATATATATATATATATGTGTGTGTGTGTGTGTGTGTGTGTGTGTGTGTGTGTGTGTGTGTGTGTGTTTGCTATATTTATGGGTTAATGTGCTCATTATCAGGGATTTCGCCCTAGCATGGAGTATTGCTGCCATATATGGTCTGAAGCCCCTTCTGTTTGCCTCGGGGTTCGTGATAGGCTCCAGAGGCGGATATGCAATATTATTGGCCCTAGTCTGGCATCTCGTCAACAGTCACTTTCTCACAGACGCGCCGTCGCCTCTCTCTGTCTTTTTTTACAAATACTTTCATTGTAATTACTCCGAGGAGCTGCATTCGCTGGTTCCCAGACTTCATGAGTTCAAGCGCCCTACGAGGCTGGCATCCCGCTCTCACCCCTTCACTGTCGAAACTCCTAAATGTAGCCGTTTCTTCTACTCGAATAGCTTCAGGTCTCGCACCTCTCTCCTGTGGAACTCCCTTCCCTATTCCAGTTTCCCTGAGAGCTATAGTCTCCAGCTATTCAAATGTAATGTCAATCGACATCTCCAGTTGCCTTGATCTATCCACTACCCTTCTCCTCATCCTTTCTTCTATTACTCCTATATGATCTTGTTTCAAATTTTCTGTAACCCCTTGCGTCCTAATGGCTTCTCGCCTTGCTTGGGGTGAAACGCTTAAAAAAACAAAAAAAATGTACTTTGGAATCAACACCCAGAGTCTCTTTGATACTAAACGCAATTACCATGCGTTTTTTAGTTCTGGGTCTGACGATTGCGTTTAGTATGAAACAGGCGGTCGTGTGCATCGTTAAAAACGACTGACAAGATACTGCGGTTATTTAATTTTTCTTGTGTTCTCATAATTTTCTTCTTTTCAGGACCTGAAGCACAAGACAAAATAATTTCAAAACTTAACCGCAGTACCTTGACAGTCGTTTTGAATGAAACTTTTATAAAAGAAGGCTTGCTGCCCTAATACATATATATATATATATATATATATATATATATATATATAATGGACTCTCCCGTCGGTTTCGACGTGTGAGGATCTGACAGCTTATTGATTCTGTTATGAAAGTTTGTGCGATAATCTTAAGTGGCATTTAAGAGCCGATAGTGATTTACAAAGGAGGCCACATATGGAGCAAGTGTGAGAGGCTTGTGAGATGAGATCACTGTTAGATTGGCTGACCTTTTTAGATCTTGCTCTCACTTCTTGAAGATGATTCAGATGTATGATTGAAAATTGCTGAGTCCACTAAAAAACACGTTGATCTCCATTTACCCATGCCAAGGCTAAGCGCTCCAAGGGTGTTATGTGGTATATTGACTGGCTGACAAATTGCTCTTCAGCTTGTCTTTGTATCTTAGGCCATGGGCGTCTACATTCCTGTAGCCCTGATCTAACTGGCTGTACATTGAATATATATATATATATATATATATATATATATATATATATATATATATATATATATGCGTTACCACTCTCAGTGGTTCCCACAAAGGAGACGCAGTTTCGGTCTATGCTGAGAACACATTATCATTTCTAACATTCATCGTATGCGCTGACCGATAGACGCAACATACACACTGTTTATTGAATAAAAATGGCGCGTCTACTTCAAATACGAAGTGTTCACGATAATAACGTTGGAAGCAATAAAAATGTTGGCTTAAAAATAAATACATCCACGTCATTGAAGCGATCTAAAGTTTGACTAACCGCTCAATTTTAGAGATCCTGTGTAATGGCAGTATTCTTTGATAAACTGCAGTATAGCCATCACTGACAAGGCACCTCACAGTTTCCTTCTTAATATAACACTGTACCTGACAAAGCTAATTTTTTTTAAATATCCATAGCGATAGACAGAGGGAGAAAGACAGGGAATCATTTTTTTTTCAAGTGGTAAACGAATAAGGTTGATAATCACTTTGTGTGATAGGTGAAAAGATGAAGACATAGATTAACTGAGTGTGATAGAGAAAGAGAAAGAGAGAGAGTAAGACAGGGTGGATTGTGTTTGATAGAGAGAACGATAAAGACAGAGAGTGATTGTGTATAAAAAGTGAAGAGATAAAGACATGGATTAATTGATGTGATAGAAAGAGACAAAGAGAGAGAGAGAAAGACATAAGGATTGGGTGTGATAGAGAGAGACAAAGAGAGAGAGAGAAAAACAATGATTGGGTGTGATGGAGAGAGAGAGAGAGAGAGGTAAAGACAGAGAGTGATTGTGTATGAAAGGGGAAGAGATAAAGACATAGATTAATTGAGTGTAATAGAGAGAGAGAGACAAAGAGAGAAAGACATAATGATAGGGTGTGATAGAGAGAGAGAGACAAAGAGAGAAAGAGATAATGATAGGGTGTGATAGAGAGAGAGACAAAGAGAGAGATAAAGACATAATGATAAGGAGAGAGAGAGGTAAAGGCAGAGAGTGATTGTGTATGAAAGGTGAAGAGATAAAGACATTGATTGAGTGAGAAAGAGAGAGAGAGACAAAGAGAGAAAGACATAATGATTGGGTGTGATAGAGAGAGAGACAAAGAGAGAGATAAAGATATAAAGATTGGGTGTGATAGGGAGAGAGAGAGGTAAAGACAGGTAGTGATTGTGTATGAAAGGCGAAGAGATAAAGACATTGATTGAGTGAGAAAGAAAGAGAATGAGAGAGTGATTGTGTGTGATAGAGATATTTAAATAAAGATTAAAAATGTGTGTGCGTTAGAGAGAGAGAAAAAATAGAAGTACAAAGGCAGGCAATAATTGGGTGATAGGAAGAGAGAAAAAGAAATAGAATAATTGTCTTTGATAAAAATAGAGAGACACAGACAGAGGCAAAAAGACAACGGGAATGTGACTGGAGGCTGGCATTTCTGGGTTTTTTTTTTTTTTTTTTTTTTCCTGAGTCTTTTTTTTTTTAATTTAAATAATTCTATTTAGAAAACTTTCACCGAATTTACAATTAAATGTCGTCTAGTCTTAACGACTTGATAGCCAGGCATCCAAGATGGAGTAT